TCGACCTTTTGCACGCCTTGTTTGGCGTTTTTCGAAGCAAGGGCAGCACTGCCAAGGCGAACAATTTTTGTGCGGCACTAGGAATGTTAATCCCGGGATCCCGGGATTCCGGTCTTTTTTAAGTCCCAAAAATTTTCGGGATTTGTAATTTACACTGGTGGCAATAATAGAAACGCTTTATGTTGACCAGTTTTGGCAGTATTTCTTTTGTTTATTTAATATTTAAAATTTTTTTTATAAATGTGTAGATCAATATACATATAATACCTTGCGGCAGGCAATTTTGCACACAAAAAAAATTAATATATTCGCCAAACCAAGAGCCAGAGCGTTCTTAATTTTTCTCTCCGACGTCAGGATTTTTAAAAAGACTTTGAAATTTGAAAGACATGAGTAATTCAAAAAATGATTTAAAAATTTCAGTCCAATATACTTAAAAAACCAATATGGGTATCAATTGAAAGAGAAGATTCTGTAGAGTTAAAACACATTAAATTTTTTGGTTCGTAAGGGACGGGTAGGTGTTGAAAATACTCTTTTATAATTGTATCTTTGAATATCTTTGAAATTTGTCAATTCTTATTTTTGAAAAAATTATATGTTCAGGACTAACTTTATTAGCTTAAAAAATAAAATAGATTAAAGGGGCATTTTCAATTCCTATTCGTCCTTGTGAACCCAAAAAATTATTTCATTTCATTCAGGACTAACTTTATTAGCTTAAAAAAATAAAATAGATTAAAGGGGCATTTTCAATTCCTATTCGTCCTTGTGAACCCAAAAAATTATTTCATTTCATTCAGGACTAACTTTATTAGCTTAAAAAAATAAAATAGATTAAAGGGGCATTTTCAATTCCTATTCGTCCTTGTGAACCCAAAAAATTATTTCATTTCATTCAGGACTAACTTTATTAGCTTAAAAAAATAAAATAGATTAAAGGGGCATTTTCAATTCCTATTCGTCCTTGTGAACCCAAAATATTAATTATTTCATTTAGTACCCATACTTTTGTTTTACATTGCACTGGTCTTTTTTAAATAAATTTTTGAATTAGCCATATCGAGCCCTAACCGGCAAACTAACGTGAATATTTTTTTTTTTAATTTTCTTTTTGATGCAGAAATATTCCTAGAGCAACTAGATGCATTTCTGCATCAAAACGAAAATTTTTAAAAAATGTCGCTTTCGTTATTTTGGCGGTTAGGGCTTGATAGTCTTTTAAAAAAATCATGACGTCAGAGAAATGCCCATTTATACATATGCAGTTAATTATGTGTAATATGAAGTAGACTTTTATGGAAAAAAAATATAAATTTTGGATAAACAAAAGGAATATAGACAAAACTGGTCGAACTAACGCGCTTCTTTTATTTCTGCCACTCGAATTATAAACTTCTTTCAACCAGAAAATAAATTTTTTGCCTTATTTTTTTGCATCGAGCTTTTTTCGACATACCCTAAATTACTTTATCAGATATGTACACACCAAAGTATTATTAAATGCATATAAACTTTATTACTGTCTAACGTTTTGTTACTTATGAAATAATTTTCACTTTAAATAAAAAAGTACGTTCCAAACCCATTTACTTAATATTACATGTTAAGTCATTGAAAAATAATAAATATCTAAATCCCGGGACTGATCCCGGGACTGAACCAACGACATCCTGAAAATGCCGGGATCGCAAAAATCTAAAAAATTAACATCTCTATGCGGTATGTAGGCGACATAACAGCTGTTTATGTAAAGCATATAAATACGTTACGGTTGCCAGACGTACTGATTTTATCAGCACAGTACTGATTTTTCAACTCTAGTACTGATTTTAATCATTTCTTCGATCTGTACGCTAATGTCCTGACTTTTAAAAATCGCCTCATGTAAGTTCAGCTTTACAATTATTTTTTCTCAGTTTACTGACATTGTAAAAGAGTTTTGCTTACAAGACATAGAGTTAGATACTCTTTTTAGCGAATTCTTGGTCTTTCCATAAGGAAATATAGATGAAGTCCTTAAATAGTGGTACTTTTCCACAGTTGGAAAAATATTTAATTTTGTTTTTTTTTTAGCCACACTCAAACGAAGCAACTGAGAGGATCTTAAGCATGAAATTTGCTTCCTGGCGCAAAGAGAGAAACCGGTTTCTAATAAAATCGTTTAAACTGAACTTCAAATTAAAAGTAATTTTAAAATGAAATGTATAAAATTCGTTGACCATTTAAATACTGAAAATGGAAATGATCTCATTATTAATATTTAAAAATGTCATAAATATACAAAAAATAGTTTATTGGCTCCTGTGTACAGTGATGTGTACTCATGTTAAAATGAATAAAATTTTTTTTTTTTTTGAACTATATTTTATTTATATATCAAAATATTGTTAAAAACAAGTACTATGGCGTTTTAAAGTATTATCTGTTACTTAGATTCATAATTTTGCTTAAAATAAAAGTGTACTGAAAAGTACTGATTTTTTTAGCATGGAAAAGTCTTAACTTATCTACTGATTTCGCGCATAAAAAATCTAGCAACCCTAATATACGTACACCTTACGTACGTTACCTAGGGATAATAAAAATATTAATTTGTTTATAACCAGGTTTATAACCAGGGTTTCAACGCAAAATACTAACACGATAAGCTTACTTTACAGTTTTATGTGTGAATTTCAAAAGCGTAAACATGTACTTATACTTGCACGTTCATTTATGATTAACGTTCATGTAGCGACGGCATTCTTTTGAAAAATTGATATTGTGACATATCTTTAAAATTTCGACAAGGTGGCCACAAGAAAATTTGTCTAGCTTGAAATATATCCAAAAAGTTTTAGTTTTTCACCGATATTGTAAAATTTTTATAATTAAACTGATAGCGCAACTTATCTATTTCTTGTGATCATATGTACATACTTCACGCTATACTTCCGGTACCGAAGGAAACATAGTTAAAAATATGTCCATTCTAAATAATATTATTGTATTTTATAATAATCCGTCACGATTTATAGGAGACACACATTTATTGTTACTCTTAATCACGTATATCTTACGAAGGAATTTAACGATCTTAATTTGAAATAAATACGCAAATGAAAGATAACAAAATTCTACATAGACCTCATATACATCACTTTTCTATAGGTCTGATAGTTTCTGACAAATTAATTAATCATTCCAGATTTTTTTTGTATGAAAAAAAATCAAATTTTAACAGGAGAAAAATTAAAAAACTAGCAGGTTCGGTGTCAAATTCTCGCCTGTTCTGCTACAAAAAAATCAAGTTACTAATGAAAAAAATCGATGGACAAATAGAGGAGTAATGAGTGGTAAAATGAAAATGCGCTAACATTTTTTTTTGAAATATGAGCGTAAAAGCATGCTACTTAGATGTACATGGCGTGTATGTAATATTATTTCCTGCTCATTTCTCATACGAAAAATCTTTGTGCATTTTCATTTGACCATTCATTACATCTTTATTTATCCATCGATTTGCTTCATTAGTACCTTGATTTGTTTGTAAAAGAACAGGCTTTAGCACAACTGCAAGAATTTGACACACAACCTGTTAGTTTTATAATTTTCTCCTGTTAAAATTTGGTTTTTTAATTTTTTTTCATAAAAAAATTGGAATGATTTATTAATTTTGCAGAAACTATCAGTTCTATCGAGAAGTGAGATATAGACGGTTTATGGAAAATTTTGTTAGCTTTCATTTGTCGCATTCCATTTTCAAATTGGTTCTTGAGATATAAGTGACTATATGTAACCACCTTTTGTTTTAAGCTGAATAACTATAAATTGAAAATATCTCGAAAACGTATCCATAGAATAAAAAATTAACTCGATTTTTGGATTCGACATTCAAATTGGATAGTGGCGTCTGGAGAACAAAAACCAAATTAAAATTTGTGATCCAGTACTATTTATTAGAAAAAAAAACGTTTTTGTTTTTTATGTTTTAATGTTGGTTTGAACCAGGCTTGAACGCAGGCCCTGCGGAATGGTACAGCGCACTGCTGACCACTACACCACAACGGCCGGTTACTTTCAATTTCAATAAGAAAGTAAAAACTTTAATAAACAGACAACTACCAGACAAAATTTTTGTTTGTGCCAAAAGCAAACTTTTTGACAATAATTGCTATTACCTGTTTCTAGTCTCCAAAAAGTACATAAAAGTAATTGGAAACTGATATCAATCAAAGCACTATTTATTTATTTTCCCTTAACAATGATCTCGATACAAATTTCTAGACAACAGCACTCTGTGACTGCCAAATGTACAAATCGTGTGATTCCCGCTTTAAGCCAGGAATGGAAATATTTTATTTTGGTATTTTCCCTTTCAGCTGTTTCACAGTTTGCCGCCTAAACTGACACATAAAAAAATTCATGCAAAAAATATGTTTGCGTTTATTTTCATTTTNTTTTTTTTTTTTTTTTTTTTTTTTTTTTTTTTTTTGAGAAATAAAAAACGAAAATCTGGCAAGCCTGATTCTCCCACCGCTGTCAATTTCCGCAAGGCCGTAACTTAATAATCTAAAATCTACAGGTTCTTAAATTGCTTACGGTAAGTTATGTTTTAACTAACCGAGAACACATTTTCACTTTTAACAGGTTGGCCAAAATATTAAGTTAAACTAAGTTACGGAAATTAAGTCTACACTAACTGACCTTTTAGCAAATTTTATATTGTGATTATTGTTGTTATTATGTATACATTTGTCTAAACTGAAAGTAAGTTACAGACCCCTGCCAACTTAATATTTATTTCGCCATATCCAACTATGATATTTGGTTACTATAACCAAATCTTGGTAATAGTAAGTACACCTTTTCTCGGTATACAGATCGATTTAAAAAGCTACTATTCCCTTTTCGTATCTCTTTGGGTATAAAATATATGCTGATCTAATAATTTTATGTACATAAATATTTGTGAATGTCTAGCACAAATATATATATTTCTTTTATTTATTTATTAGGTCGTTGGAAAATGGTTCAACCAATTGGAAATAAATATAACGGATGTTGTTTGGAATAAGGAAAGCGAATTGCCAATTTCCGCTTGCTCTTTACCATGTGAAGCCGGAATGATAAAAAAACAACAGGTATTATTAATTTAGGACTCTAGAAAATCGTCGATGTTTTTGCAAAACCGCCCATCGACCATTTGCAAAACCGCCTAAATTGCCGTTGTGGCAAAAATTAGATTTGCTAACCCTGAACTCCAGGCACGAGATTCATGCAAAAAAAATCTTTAAATCGTTATTAAAACAACAGATTTGTTAAATAATAGCTAGAGAAAATACCGTACATCAAAGCAATGCCTTCAAAGAATAAACCTTTTTTTTGCTCTCCTGTAAAATTTGTATGCCGTAAGATAGGCGGTCTTACAATTGGGCGATGGACGGTTTTGCAAAAACCTCGGCGATATGTGCACTGGAAAATCTCAAGTAAACTGGGAAACTATCTCCCTCTAAAACATAAAAATGGACGAACACAATTGGCAATAAATCATATGACAAGCGTTGCCGTTTTATAAATTCCGAGCGGAGTGAAATTAGGCAAAAGGTGGAATGGTTTCCAAAGAAAAGCTTGCAGTTTGCACGGATTGTACGAAATGCAAAAATACTAGGTAGCAAGCAGCGAAATTCTGTATCAAATACAATAGCAAGATACAGAAAAAAAATTAAGTGAGCGAAATTAGAGGGATGAGAGAAATATGTAGCAATTCCAATAACAAAACAGCTAGCATAGGGTCGCATTTATCTTGGTATGCTTATTTGAAAAACATGTGCATGGGTTTAGTGCATACTTTGCAACGATAGGAAATGTTGTTTCACATGTTTTTTGTTGTTGTGTGTTATGCAATCCGTGCAATGTGCAACGGCTTTGCAAGATTTCGAGAATACCCCTTATATAAATCAAAGTTTCTAACTTTACACAAAACTAGCAGAACTTCGTCCTGCCCAAAATTAATTTTTGTTTATTGAAACTTTTTGGTCCAACATTCACCAACAATCCACGTTTACGATTTTTATTGGCACATTCATCTGCTAAGATTATGGTTTGATGATCATTTGCCGCTTTAAATAACCTAACGAAAGTGTTATGTCCGTGATACTTTTTAGAAAAGTATCGATACTAGTGGAATGGAATGGAATGGAATGGAGTTGTGGGTGGACAGAAAAACCAAAACCAAATTTTTCCAAGCACTCAAGCAGTATTGCGCATTGTACTTAAGGCCAAGAAACAGGATTTAGAGGAAAGGGATATGTAGGAGGGGTGGGAATTCATTACTTCTCTGCAAACTTACCAGACTCCTTTATGAATTTTAGCAATTTGTTGAGCGAAAGAGAATGTACGTCGTCCATTCTCAGTACTTCCGACCCAAAAATGTACCATCTGAGTCTGGCGAAGGCCGGACAGCGGCAGAGAAAATGTTCAGTACTATCCTCGTCCTCCAAACACGATGTACACAGTGGATCGTCGATGATGCCTTTTCAGGAAACACTTGGTTGTTTTGCAGGTGTCAATAGTGCACCAACGGCTCTCATGAGTTTTGCTTATGAGATCCTTGATGCACCGGATCGTTCCCGCTATGCTTGGCCCTACAATTCGCTCCGGTCCAATTGGGCGCTCCAGAGAACCGCAGTTCGCCAATTCATCAGCCAGTTCGTTACCTTGAACACCGTGGTGTCCTGGCAACCACACAAGTTCAAGCTCATTCCATCTTGTAACGGAGTTCAGCCTCAACTTACATTCCTGGACTAACTTTGAGGAGGTTCCAGCGGTTTCCAGGGCCTTTAGAGCAGCTGGACTGGTACTGCAGATCCTTATTTTATGCCCGCGCCACCTTTCGCAAGTTATCCAGTCTGCTACTTTCAGTATTGCAAAGACTTCCGATTGAAAGACCGTTGTCATTGCACCCAAAGTGGTAAAGCATCTGAAGTTTCCTTCCAGATGCCATCCAGCTCCAGTACCGGTTTCAGTTTGAGCCGTCAGTATACAAAGTTTTCACCGAGCTTCTCAAGAGAGTGTCTGGATATCTCCATTGTTCCCTTGTAGGAAATCTAACGACGTACTTTCTACCAAAGGAGACTCTAGGTATCAGTTTGTCTTTTGGTACCAAAAACAAAGGATATTTCTCTGACAACCCTGTGAACAACTCCCTGTGCCCAAAGTTCCGATCGTCGTGCCACAGACCAAAAGAATGCAGTCGACACATCGTTTCCATTGCCTCCTCTTGGATCGCTAAATCCAGGGGCGAAAATTTCTGCAAAGCATTAAGAGCCGGTCCTGACGTTGTACTCACACACCCTTGTTGCCTGTTTATCGCAGAAGCCGTGGTTTTGACCATGGTTCTGCGCCACCATACTAGAGCAGGATACGGTACGATTGGCCCGACTAAAGCTATGTATATCCATAATACCACAGCCGGTCTCAGACCCCAGGTCTTGCTAAAGGTTCTTCGACACTGTCCGAAAACTTTCAGCGCTCGATTTACCTTCAGCTCGACGTGAGTTTTCCATGTCAGCTTCGTATCTAGAGTTACCCCTAGATATTTCACATCCACGGAAAGGCTTAAGTTTACGCCTCTACGCACTGGAAGGTTGAGACCTTCCAATTTTCTTTTCCGCGTAAACAGGACTAGGGTTGTCTTGCTGGGATTGACAGCAAGACCCTGCAAAGTGCACCATTCATCAATCTTCTTCAGGGGTCTCTGTGTGTTAACACAAACCTCCAGGAGAGATTTACCTGATGACAGTGCACAGACATCATCCGCGTAAGCTTGGAGTCCACTACCAAACACCACAATTGAGGTGAGAGCACCCCTCCCTGAGGGCATCCCCTCCCAACTTCTAGCGTGTATAGGGTACAAAGGCTAGCTTCATCCCCCACGGTTAGCAATCTCCTAGATAGCATGACGTGAATCCACCTTGTGATGTATTCGTTCACACCATGTCTTCTGGCCGCAGAGCACATAGAGTCAAAAGTAGCATTGTCAAATGCCCCCTCAATACCAGCGAAGACCCTTATTTCGTACTCACCTGCTTCCAGCTCCACCTCGATCTTTGTTACAAGGTCATGTAAGGCTGATTCACAGCATTTTCCGCTTTGGTATGCATGTTGATGAACACTAAGGGGGCTATTCACCAAAACCCTTGATCTAATGTACTTATCGACCGTGCACTCCAGACTTTTCAGCGTGAAGGATGTCAGGCTAATTGGCCCGAAGCTTTTTGCCAGCACTTAGTCATCCTTTCCAAATACCAGACAGGCCCTAAAGACCCTTATTAGGGCCCCTACAAGCCTGTCTCCCCCACACTTCAACATTTTCGGATACACACCGTCTGATCTCGGTGACTTAAAGTCGTCAAAAGAGGTTAAAGAAAACCTCACTGACTCCTCAGTCACCTACCGTGATGCTATGTACCAGTTTAGTCTAGTGGCTCTTCCCGACGCGCTATCCTCCACCATATCCCTGCCTGGGTCAGGAATTATCCTGCTACCCGGATATTCCTGGAGAGTCTTGTATGTCTCTAGCAGCGCCGCGGTATAAGTTCCATCAGATTTTCTAAGAGAAGTTGAAGTACCTTACACAGCCTGGCAGACTCTTTCATGTTGTCGATGTCACTGCAGAAGTCTTTATTAGAGCTTAATTTTGACTTGCGAATTTGCCTCTTATATTCCTTCTGCACGATATGATATTCGAACCAGTCCTCCCCTTTTCGGGGTTTTAAAGACGTATTCAGAAGTATCCTAGACTTTTTTCAAGTTTGGTGAGTTCAGCGTACCACCATGGGACCGCTTTTCCCTGCCTTCTTCTTTTTAGCGGACATACTTCCTCAAAACAACCAATCAAAGTACTCGTTATCTCGCGGGTCGCCTCTTCAATTGATTTAATATTTTTGAATTTATGGAGATTTCGTATTCTCGTTTCAAGGAGCAACCCAAACTTTTCCCGTCCGCCTTTCGAGGATTCCGACCGAAACTCGATGAATCGATGATCTGATAGAGATTCGTCATCTAAGACCAACCATCCTTTAATATTATCCGCCATAACTACATTGGTTAAGGTTAGATCTATCAATGTCTTCTTCTTCTTCTTCTTTTTTGGAGCTGTAACCGCCTAAGCGATTTTGGCCGAGTTCAGCAAAGCACGCCAGTCGTTTCTCCTCTGTGCCAACTGACGCCAATTGGAAACGCCAAGTGAAGCCAAGTCCTTCTCCACCTGATCTTTCCATCGCAGTGGGGGCCTCCCTCTTCCTCTGCTACCACCAGCGGGTTCCGAGTTGAATACTTTCAGAGCTGGAGCGTCGGTGTCCATTCGAACGACATGACCAAGCCAGCGGAGCCGCTGTATTTTAATTCGCTGCACTATGTCCATATCGTTGTAAAGCTCATACAGCTCATCGTTCCATCGTCTGCGGTACTCGCCGTCGCCAACGCGTAAAGGCCCGTAAATCTTCCGCAAAATCTTTCTCTCAAACACCCCAAGAGCCGCCTCATCGGATGTTGTCATTGTCCATGCTTCTGCGCCATATACCAGCACGGGCATGATGAGTGACTTATAGAGCGGGGTTTTCGTACGTCGAGAGAGGACTTTACTCCTGAATTGCCTACTCAGTCCAAAGTAGCACTTGTTGGCAAGAGTGATTCTACGTTGGATTTCAATGCTGACATTATTATCGGTGTTAATGCTGGTTCCCAAGTAAACGAAATTCTCTACTTTCTCGAAATTGTAACTGTCAACAGTGACGTGGGTGCCAAGGCGCGAATGTGCTGACTGTTTGTTTGATGACAGGAGATACTTCGTCTTGTCCTCGTTTACCACCAGACCCATGCGCTTTGCTTCCCTATCCAACTTGGAAAAGGCAGAACAGACTTCGCGGTTTTTGTTACCGATGATGTCGATGTCATCGGCATAAGCCAGCAATTGCACGCTCTTGTAGTAAATTGTTCCTGAGCGGTTCAGTTCTGCAGCTCTTATTATCTTCTCCAACATCAGATTAAAGAAGTCACATGAAAGGGAGTCGCCCTGTCTGAAACCCCGTTTTGTGGCGAACGGCTCGGAGAGGTCTTTTCCAATTCTGACGGAGCTGGT